ACAGGTCAAGATCATCCAAAGGATCAAGTTTAATTTGGACCCTAAAAGATCAAGGAAATTGCAAGGGGACAAGATAAAAAGAAGATTGAGAAAATATTTCATATATCCGGTCGGATATAGGCAATACCCGATTGGGTATTGAGTTGATTCGGGTGTCAAAATTAGAATCTGGAGAGACAAAAGAACGTGCAGGATTTTGACTTTTTGGCTCATACCCGACCGGGTATACCTACATACCCGACCGGGTATGTCTAGAAAAGTGATTTTCTGGGAAACTGCCTAAAATACCCGATCGGGTACCCTACATACCCGATCGGGTACACAACCCTGCCACCTCCAAACACCTATAAATACACCCCTTTTCCTTCACAATAAAATAATTCCTTCTTCCATACTCTTAAGCTCAGTTTAGAATAGTATTTCTTTTATATTTTTATAGCATGTTTAGTCTCCAAATGAGGAGCTAAACTTCCATTTCTTGGTGTTGCTCTTGAAGCTTGTTGATTATTAAAGTTGTGAGTTATTTTCTTAACTTCTTTCCTTGAATATTAATTCTTCCTTTAAATACTATTTCTATATCAATGTTGGGGAGTGTTACTAATAAGATGACAATTAGTTAACATCTTGACATTAGTTATAGCAATAATTATTTCTTCCTCTATGTTAATATTGGGGAGTGTTACTAAGATGACAATTAGTTAACATCTTGATATTAACTATAGTAGGATTCATCTTCTTTAATTAATATTCTTCCTTGAGTATTAATTAATTCATATTCATATTTCATATTAATATTTTGAACATTACTTAAAGGATCAACTAGTTTTGTTTCATATATTAATTATTACTAGAAACGATCAACGAACCGATGGTTAATCGTTGATGGTTTCACAAGTAAGTAACTTCGGTTTATTAATGCACGGTTGTGGTTAATAAACTTAAGAGGGATTAATTTTGTTGGTTAAACCGAAACCGTTGTGTTGGGGTTATCAATCTCAATTGATTTCATCAAGGAGTTAAGAGATTAAATGCTACTATCAAGTCGGTATATGGCGGTGTTCTATACTTGACTAATAGTAAGGGTTATTAATGAACGGTTGTTGTTAATAACTACCCTCGATGAATTGGATATACTCCTCGATTGAGTATTCGAGAGGGAATAAGTTATAGATATAACAATGATCGACTAAAATATATCAACAAGTGGAAAGTAGCAATGTCAAGTCCTTTTTATCTTTGAATTAAATCACATATAAGTTGTTCATCTTTGTGTTTAATTAAATTAAATCATTCAATCCCAAACCCCCTTTTTATTTACTAGTTATTTGAAAAGAGAATTATTCATTTCCCTGTGGATACGAACTCTACTACGTTATACTACGTATAAGTGTTAGTATTGAATTTATTTTGACGCACCGTGACAAAGTGCACGTCAATATTCAACGTGACCGGGAATATGCAAGTACTTTTTTTTGAAATGATTAGAGAATTAGATACTTTTCAAAACTATTTTTGAAAAAAATTAAACCTATAAAAAACTACAAAATGAAAGTAATTTATAAAAAAAGACTAAATTTCTATGGATATATTGTCATTTTCCTTTGATGTGAAAATTGAACATAAGCTATATGACTAAAGTTAATACCATAGCCACTATACTTAAAAACAATTTTATAAACCATCTTTATTTTAGTTAGAATTATGTGATTTCAACTTCCATGAGTAAGTTCCAATCCTATGTTAAGCAATTTATATAAAAAGTATATATGGAGACATGGAGTATATTTTACGTTTTAAGACGTAGTATTCAAATGTTTTATCCTCTTGAGGAACAATGCTATGGTATCTACATTTGAGAAGTGAGTATAATTAAGAAATTTAAAAATGTTTCGTTAAGTAACATAATACGGTGTAACGGTTATTTTGTAGATAAGGATAGTACAGAGGAGGAGCTATAAATGAAGTAGCTTTTATTGGAAAAGTAACTTCGGAAACTCAAATTTCTCATTGTGACTCTGTGATTAAAAAAGTGATACAACGTTTTAATCTTTTGATTATCTAGAGAAGGTTGGTGATATCATGATCAATGTCATTAAGTGGTACAAGGTTTCCGATGTTGGTATATGGGGGTGTTTGGAACTGATTCTGCTTCTGCTTCTTTTTTAAAGCAGAAGCAAAATCAGAATCAGTTTTCAGAAGCTGGTTCCCCCCAGCTTCCAAAAAAACTGATTCAAGGAGTAAATTAAAGTACCAGAATCACTTCTGCACTTTCACTCAAACAATTCAACTTCTGCTTCTGCTCCCTGAAGGAGCAGAAACGGTTTTAAAATCAGATCCAAACACCCCCCTATGTTATTGGAGGCATTTCAAAAAATTAATTTGAATTTTCATCTCCACACATGATTTAATTTACACAAGGAATTATCTCATTTTACTCCATATTTTACAATTTTCTCACTTCATAATGCTTTACAATAAGGAATATTAATAACTATTAAAGAAAATATCTCAAATCGTGCATCCCTACACTGTGCATCACACGGGTGAGTTACTAGTTGTAAAAAGTAAGAGAGCCGCATAACCAATTTAATATCTCTATTATCATGGATTTTTAAGGAAATAATAACAAATATATATATGATTGAAATGAAGATAGTAGATAAAAATATGACTTAATGACTATCATAATAACTTTAGTGTTCATGATTGTGTTTAACTCTACCATATAATGACTATGCTAAGTAGCTATTGTTTCCCTCCATTCTATTTTAACTCTCTTACTTTTTTAGATAGTCCCAAAATAATTGTCACATTACCTTTTTTGAAAAGAAATATATGACCTACAACATTTCATTTTATTATACACAAATATTAACCATAACTTTTACTTTTTTTCAACCACTTTATTAGTAATTGTGTCAAACCAAAGTAGGACACATAAAATGTGATGAAAGTAGTAATATTTTTGTCCATGTGTTATATTTCGGTAATATTTATGGAAAAACGTCATAACTAAAACAGTTTTGAATATAATTGAAATTTGATATAAAATTAATTAAAGGCGTAATAGAGAATTAGATTGACTTCATGAATAAAATATTATTACTCTATTAAAACAAAATGTTCGATCAAAGAAACAATTTTTAATTGTATTAAGAAATATTCCTAAGTTAATTGATCGAGTACGTACCTGGTTACATTATGTGAAATCCGATCGATTTTAGTTACAATTATTTATTTGTAATCCTAATTTGGGTGCCAATTATCTACAAACGGGTCAAACTGAGATAAATAGTATTATCTCAGTTTTATTGAACTTTAACCACTTTAATTGTTTCAAAAACTTAAACACATTCTGATTAAAACAATTAATTTGTGATTTAGCTCTTAACAAAACTAAACTATTGTGGTACTCTTTTATCTATTTATTTCTCAACCTACTTTTTAATGTTTGTATTTTAGAAATACTTAAATAAGTAAGGAGCATATCCATTGTAGTTTTCACGTATGGATGTATAACGTGAGTCCCATACTCCCAAACTGCCATCAATTCAAGGCATAACAATATACTATACGGAGTATATATGACATATATATTTAATCCTAGCTATTAGAAAAGTAAAAGATTAGAATTTTCCCTATATAAGAATACATAATTCCTTTTTAAGAAGAAAACAACGACATTCCTACTACTATATACAAAAGCATATGATTATTTTACACTTTCATTAAGATTTTTTGTTTAATTATTTCAATTAATAATTATATTTGAATAGTAAATAAATCATTGAAGAGTGTAAAATTGACAATCCGATTAGGCTTTTAATATGTAAAATTTAAAAGCCGTGATGAGTACGCTACTCAAAAGGGCTTTTTCCTTTATAATATGATGGTACGAACCCAATATAATTCAATACACTTTGTATTAATTGAATAATTTTCAATGTTTTTGCGTCGATAGATTTCAATCTTAGATCATATTTCACTTAGACAAATTAGACTAAATTAGATCAAAATTTTACACGCATATTAGATCAGATGCAATGAGAACATACTTGCATGTATGAGGTGGAACTTCCACCTCATGCGAATAAGTTTTTTTTTTTTTTTTTGGAAAAACAAGAATAAGTTATACTCTTGCTTGCTACAGTAAATGTTGACACATTTTTTAGGGTGAAATAAGAGGAGTAATGAATAGTGTAAAAAAAATAGAAAAGATGGCGGAAATGTATGAAAGAGAAAGATAAAAAATACTCCCTCCGTCCTATTTTGGTTGTCCTACTTTCATTTTTGGGTTGTCCCAAAATTAATGTTTTGTTTCCTTTTTTGGCAAGAAATATGTGGTTCTTATTATTTCACTCAAATCTCAACCACAACTTTTACTTTTCATTCACTTTATTAATAATCGTGCCAAATTGAAAGTGGACAACCAATAAGGGGCGGAGGTAGTACAAAAGATAATGATAATTAACTATTTTTAAAGAAAAAACTTACCATAAAAAAAAATATAGCAAACAAAAAAATACGGAGGGAGTACTACATAGTACATAAATTAAAGTATTAAACAAACCTTTATCGGACTAATCATACCAAATCAAATCTTAATTAAACCCAATCTAACTAAATGAGACTGTAGTAGAAATTTTTTATCCCATTAAAACATCCTAGAAATTGATAATTTTGTTACTTGCATATATTAAAAATTGTTACCAGTACTCCCTCCGTCCCTGAATGTTCTTCCGATTGCGGATTACGAAGGTTGACCGACGATAAAGTTAAATGATCCCTGTGAAAACTCGGATTATTTTTAGTAAATAAAATTTACATATTCAGAAACTACATTAAACCCGCTACAAAGCCTGCACAAAAAAAATCAATTTTCATAAAGTTTTGATACAAAAAGTAAGAGTTTAAGAGTGATTTAAGTTGACTCTCGAAAAGCGAAATGGAAGTAAATTTAGGGACAGAGGGAGTACTTTCTTTGACGAAATGAATTTGCACATAAGTTTAACAAGTTTCTCATTCAACCTCCAAAACTACAATTGGTTGTTCGTTTGGTGGGACCGGTGAATTCTATAAGTTTTTGCTTTAAGATGATGATCGGGATTCGCAGCGGGTTTGCTTATTGTTTCTCCGTCAACGTGCAGCGGGAATTCGACAATTCGTATACGTCGTGGGCAAAGGCTAAAGGTTCCGATTCATTTATTTCTCGTTGATGGATTTTTCTGTATTAACGGTTCGATATTTCTGGTTTGCATGTCTAAGACTCTGAGCTACGAATTCCTTTCGACTATTTAGAATATGTTGTTTGAAAGGGTGTTGTGACTGTTGGTATTGAATTTATCTGTTGGTATTGTCCAATCGATGGAATATATTTCATTCATAGCAATAACTAAGTAAATACGGACTATATAATTTCAATCTGAGTTTGTATATGCATCTTTGCCTTTGTCGGTTCAAGATTTTACTGAATTTCTGCAGGGATGGTAATTGTTTGTGAGAATTGAGGGGTAAAAACTAAAAGTTGTTGACATGACTGGAACTCAAGGAGACGATTTCGTATTGCCAAACCATATTATTCATTTGGAGGATGAACCAGACCATCTTATTGTCCTCGTTCATGGCATCTTGGCTAGGTAAGCAAGTCTCCTTCTAAGGAATGAATGCAAGATATCCTTGGGCATTGGAAACTGATTGTTGATCTATATTAGATTTATTTGTAGGTACAAGCTACTTGATTGAATGATTGTTTTCTATTGCGTTTGGTATGATTTTAAAGTTTAAACTATTTCCTGAAGTATATAGTTAAATTGTATGTCTGTATACATCATTATTTGAAAATATTTTACTCCCTCAATTCCAAAATACTTGTCCCAGTAAGTGTTTCAGGTAGCTTAAGAAATTTTGAACAGGGGTTTGAAAAATGGGGTGGGGGGTGGGGGGTTGGGGGTTGGTACTCATAATATTACTGTAAACTTTGAAGGTGTATTTCAGCTTTGTTTTTGGTAGGTCCCTTTCCAAATAAGGGATTTAGAGTGTGAGACAAGTGTTTTGGAACTTGTCTGAAGAAGAAAGCGGGACAAGCATTTAGAACCAAGGGAGTATATAATCTGTTCATCTTTGAAAAATATCTGCCCTCATTTGAATTTCTAAACATTGGTAGTGAAATATTTAGTAGTAATTCATGTCTGATTGTCTTTTATATTTTAAGTTGCATTTTTTCTGAGTGCTAATATGTTAGTTCTTTTTATATGTGTAAACTGTGACTTTTGTATATGAGTATGGTGAGAGAGTATCATCATTATATGATAGTAGAACTAGATGTTGAATTATACTAGTATGGAGTAAGCTAAGTGTTTTTTGGGACCACTTGAAAATCATGAATGCACTTTTTTACTAAAATATGTGCAACAGCTTCCTGTACACTTTGAAGGTGTAGTGCAGATATTTTTTAGTAGGTCTTTTTTCCAAAAAAAAAAAAGGATTGAGAGTGTGAGATAAGTATTTTGGAACTAGTCTGGAAAAGAAAGTGGGACAGGAATTTTGGAACCGTGGGAGTATATAATCAGTTCATCTTTCCCATTCGAATGCCCTCATTTGAATTTGTCAGCATTGTTAGTGAAATATTTAGTTGTAATTCATGTCTGGTTGTGTTTTATAGTTCGAGTTTCATTTTTTCTGAGTTTTTATGTAATATAGTAATATGTTGGTTCTTTTCATGTGTGTAAACTGTGACCTTTGTATATGACTATGGTGAGAGAGTATCATCATTATATGATAGTAGAATATCTAGATGTATAATTACAAATGTTTTTTTAACCACTTGAAAATCATGTATGAGATTCAAAGACAGTTTATTTAAGTCTAATCTCTCTTTTCTTGGTTTATATCAATAGTTTCAGTTAGACTCTTTGTCTGATTTACTATTTCGCATATGGTCTATTATTGGTTGGGGAATTTTTTGATTTGGAGGGAGGAAAAGGATGGACTTTTTTGCTTTACTAGTGTGCACTTGTGGACAAATTAATTATATGCTTAGTTAAAACATTTTTTTCTATAAAATTCTTCATCTTAACCGTCTTTCCAAGCATTCAAATTAATAGTATTCCTCCCCTTCCCTCCCATCCGAAATCCCCCAACCAAAAAAAGGCTAAAGTAACAAGTCAAACAGAACAATGATCGATTTTTCATCTCTGTTTTTATTGAGTTCTGTGACTGATGCAGCACTAGTGACTGGACATATACGCAAGCAGAATTGAAGAGACGTTTGGGCAGAAAGTTTTTGATATATGGTATTTTTTAATCATCATATTATTATGAGATACTTAATTCCAAGTTGTTGGGTTCAGAGGGAATAAGTCTACTCTGTCAATTAAATGTTACACTACAAACAGATCACATGTGCTTGTTATTCCCCTTTTCAAGTTTTGGCAGCTATTCTTTAGACTATTGTAATTGAGAGTTCTTCATATAGATATAGTATTGAGTTCTTTTGTTCACAGCAAGTTCATGCAATGCTTATATAAAAACATTTGCTGGGATTGATGGAGCTGGTAAACGCCTTGCAGTCGAAGTGAGTTTGTTAATAAATGTTTGATTGTGAATGCTTGAGATTTCGCTTTTCTGTTCATATTTTTAACCAAGAACGTATATAAATTTAAACAGGTAATGCAAGTTGTAAAAAGTAGAGGGAGCCTAAAAAAGATTTCTTTTATAGCCCATTCACTTGGTGGGCTGATTGCAAGATATGCAGTTGCTGTTCTTTTTACCAAAAACATATCAAGCACTGCAAATAGAAAGCTGGTATGCTCTTCAATACAAGGGTTCATTGCTGGTCTAGAACCAATAAATTTCATCACTTTGGCTACCCCACATCTTGGAGTCAGAGGCAACAGACAGGTGTGTATCCCCACCACTCCCACCCCACCCCCAACCCACGGCCCCACTCCCACAAAAGGGTAATTTTTTAAATCTGGTTTCCTGTAACACCACAATGTATAGGGTTTTTTGGAACATGGAAATTAGTAGGGAAAGAAAAGGTCGAGCAAGATAGAGAAGATATATGGAAGGAAATAAAATTAGAAAGAAAATAAAAGATAGGGTCAAACTGAATAAATTTTATTTAAAGACTAAAAAAAATCTAAATGTTTGCAAAAGGTTTTAAAAAAAATCATTTCTCATATGCTTTGGCAGTTTCCATTGTAAAACCAAACATAAGAACATAACTTGGCAATTTATATATATCCCTAGCCTTGTCGTGGATTCAAAGATATGCATGAAATTGTTAGGTTATTATTGCATCAGTGAAATACTTAACAAGGAATGGGTTGCTGATGTGCAGAAAAAATCGTTTTGTTTTGTGGTTTAGCTTCCATTTCTTTTGGGACTTCCCATCTTAGAAAAACTTGCTGCACCAATGGCTCCTTTTCTTATTGGGAGAACTGGTAGGCAACTCTTCCTCACTGATGGAAAACCAAATATGCCACCTCTTCTTTTACGAATGACATCACATTGTGAAGATCGAAAGTTTATGTAAGAGATTTGTCAACAAATGCCTATACAGTATGTTTATACTTATACGTATATGCGACATAGATTTTAATATTCTAATCTTTCGTTTCTTGCAAGATCTGCACTTGGTGCTTTCAAATGTCGTGCCGTTTATGCAAATGTTTCTTATGACCGTATCCCACTCTCCACTTGTCCTTCAAACATTAGATTGTCAAACTTAGCAAATCTTGGTGTATGCTAATGTTTTTGTTACTATGTTCAATTTAGTTTGAGTTTTTTTGACATAGCCTAGATATGGTTGGTTGGCGTACATCATCGATAAGAAGAAAGACGGAGCTTGCCAAGGTAATCTGTGGTAGATTATGAAATCTACTTTATAAGTTTTCCTAATTTTTTCATGGAAAAAGTTCATACGTTCGTGAAGATGATTGTGGATATTGATTTTGGTGTTGAAAACCTGCATATTTATATTGATGATGGGAAGCTTAGTTCTTGTAATCTTTTATGTCTGTGTAGGTAATCCATTCTTTATACCATAAAACTGATATGCAATATGTACCAATAATGAATTTATTATATTTGACTATTTTATGAAATTAGTCATCTCATTATTTTTTTGACAAGGTCACATTGTGTAAAACTTTGCCACTAATCTTTTATCATGAATAAATGTATTAAGTCAACTAAGTTTATGCAATAGTTGGCACTGTAGTACCTGTATTCTAGTTGAGACCAAGGTGAGGATGAAATTTAATATCTCATGGCATCGTATATTTTTTTGTGCTATTATGCCATTACGAGTATTATTTAATGATGAGGTTTTGCCACGTTTCAGCCTCCTGCACGATCTTTGGACGGCTACAAGCATGTTGTAAATGTTGAATACTGTCCCCCGATTTTGTCAAATAGTCCTCACTTCCCTCCTGAAGCTGCCAAAGCAAAGGAGGCCGCCCAAAAGGAACTTAACATGGATAGTAGTACATTAGAATACCATGAAATCATAGAAGGTAATATATATATATATATATATATATATATATATATATATATTAGCAATACAAGGAAACATGACTTTGAGATTGCAGAATATCTTTTTGAACTATTTTGAGAGATTGCGAACTGTTGTGGTTCTGAAACAGGGGAAATGATAAGTGGATTGCAACAGTTAGGATGGAGGAAAGTAGATGTTAGTTTCCACTCAACATTCTGGCCCTTCTTTGCTCATAATAACATACATGTATGTGTTCCTTTCTATTTCAGCTTTCTTTGCGTCTTCCGAGTTGTATCTAATATTTGGAAACAGGTTAAGAATGAATGGTTCCATAATGCTGGAGCTGGAGTGATTTGTCACGTCGTGGACAGCATAAAGCAACAAGAGAAGCTGCATGGATCCAGATCTAACACATTCATTGCTGCTAGCTTGTGATTTCTATCTTTTATTGACTCTATCCTGATCCCATCTCTGCTTGGAGAGTCCCGTGCTGCTGTAAAGACTACAATGATCATGAAATTTCCCTCTTTACTCGAGAGAGTATAATTCTTTAAATGTATTAAAGATGGTTAAAACGGTATATGTAATGTAAAATTTTGTGCTGCCTTATGTTAACACTCGAAATGCTTTGACATGTATGTCACCTACAAAACATTATGAACCTTTGCATGGCTTCTACTTCTGATTCCAATTAAATATCAAATGGATAAGTCATCAGCATCTAAAAAACAATCACAAATTACAAACACAGTAAATGTTGTAATGTTAATAAAGTAAAGATGAATAGAACATTAGATAGTCTATCGTGGGATCTCATGGCATGTGGGAATGTTTTGGGGTCTCTTTCACACGCTTCCATGGCTTGTGTAGTTGTGTTGTAGCTGGTCTCATATTTCGATTTAAAATTGTCTTTGCTTAGAGACCAGTGTTGTAGTTGTATTGCCCCTATTTTAGAGTCTTGTTCTTAAATATTTATGATGTATTATCTAGTTTATAGCTTCCTTTTCCTCACAAGTATCAGTGGGACGATAGTAATGACCCCTCCGGACGCCTCACTGATATTTTCAGGTTGGAGTTTGTGTTTACTATGTGTGTTATTATTGAGATTGTGTGCGGATGAAGATTTGATTTGTATTTCCTCATTCCGTTTTAAATATTAGTTAATATTATTTTGTTCTATATACATTATTGCATAGTTAATTGACTTAATTCACTTGCAGAATTCAGTAAATATAATAGTGCAAGAAAATAGCAAGAAAACGGTTCTAGAGCAGTCCGCGCGCCCCACGGGTTGGTTCCGCACGTCCCGCGGGTGATTCTCAGAGCAAAAAGTTAAGGGGTCTGAACCGCACACCGCGCGGCCGAAACCGCACACCGCACGGTCCAGAAATAGCCCTCAGAAGTACCCGCGCGGTTGCATAGTGCAGTCGCCCGCACACCGCGCGGGGCGGAGTAAAAGTCAGAGACGGAAAAACGCGTGCGTACCCGCACGGCGACCCGCACGGCGGGTGGACGATCGTGCGGGCTGATTTTCGGCCTGTTTTCGGATTTTTTTATAAATAGACCCCTGTTTTGCCTGTTTTTGACTTATGAGCTTAGAGAGATACACCCTATTTCGACTTTTGAGAGCTTTTCAAGCCTTGTTCTTCAAGATTAAGGGATTCTTTGTGACAATTAATTCTATTCATCCCAATTCTGTTGATTCTTCAATTATGAATTGTGAGTAGTTCTATCTTATAAAAGGGTTGATCATGGTGTATGGCTAGATTCTTGTTGGTTTAATTGCATGAATGTCGTTTAATTTGTGTATGAATATTTTAACTGATATCTCTTGTAACCTATACTGCAGCTAGAATTACAATTGCATGTAAAATGAATTAAGAGAGATCTAATTTGTTCTAGGACACATTCACACACACTTAATCGTTCGCTAAGAGATTAGTAGCAATTAAGGGGCCGTAAGCTCGCTCGTCTTGGCAATAATTTAGGATCCTGTCGCATGAGAGATTAGCCTGGTCCCCTAAATTGTTGCACTCTACGCCGCGAGAGCGGTAAGAACTTAGTAATGATTAGTTATGCTCAAGTAAATTAAATTCATGTAATTAGGCCTGATCTGCCATAAATTTGGTTACCCCGGAACCGATCCCTGTTCCCTTCGTCGTTAATTAGAGAGAAACTAATCTTTTATTTTAATTGCTCATTCGTTTTAGTTTAATTTCAAATCAACCATTCATCTTGCACAATTGTATTTTATTTTATTTTCTCTTTAATTGCTGAATTTAATTAATTCTTGATTCCCTTTTGTCCGTCCCTGTGGAGACGATACTCGTGCCTACACCACTATATTACGATCTATTTTAAGTGCGAGAAAATTCACATCACACATTTATATTAAAAGCTGTCCCCATAGGCTATTGCTGTTAATATATCTTATTTTATGAATTTCACCAGACAAGCTACCTATAGAGGATTTGCGGAATTTCTTAGACTTTCAAATTCCTACAGTTTGGGCTCCGGAGCAGAATAACCTCCAGCGGGAGCCTGTCTGCCCAACTCTTCAGTTTAGTTTGATCGGCCCAATGCTTCATATTAGTCCATATCAGGTACATAGACCACTGCTCTTTTTTCCACACATTATATGCCTTGATATAATAGATGTTAACATTGGTCAAACATCTACGTGGACGGTGTAAAATGACATAAAATAACATAATGTATGATTATGAATTGAATGTGTGAGAGCGCAACAATGGTCTAAGTGATTAAGGGTCTGTTTGCAACATCTTGTGCTTTTAAAAAAGTGATTTTTTTAATGAAATGAGGAGAAGTGATTAAATAAAAGTTGATAGTGTTTGAGAAAAAAGTGATTTTGAAAAGTAAAAATGGATAGTGTTTGGTAAAATAAGTGCTTTTTGTGTAATAGAAAAAGTAAAAGTACTTTTGATGCGGAAGCCGAGAAAAATAAAAGTTGTAGTGTTTGGGAAAATAAGTGCTTTTTTAAAGCCAAAAGCTGATAAGTGCTTTTTTAAAAGTAGTTGCAAACCAACCCTAAGTGAAGTGCTAACTGGCTAACTGCATTAGCTTTTCCTTCTACTAGCATTTTTCTTAATCTACCACATGAAGAGCCCGTTTGGAGAACTCTGTTTTCGGCTTATCAGGCTTATCAGCCAACTTTTTCACCAAACACGTAACTTTTACTTTCGCGCGCTGAATTGTGTAATAAGCCGAAAAAGTAAGGTTGGAGTTACTTTTCTGGCTGTATTGGCTGAAGTTACTGTAGAGGACCATTTTAGCTATTTTTACATATAATTTTTTCTTTAATTTATTAATAAAATATATTTTTAAAATATTTTTTTCTTAAATCAGCAGAATCAGCCAAAACAGCCACTCCAGCCAGAATATCATAAATTTCAGCAGAATCAGCCAAAACAGCCGATTTTGGTGCTACCAAACGGGCTCGAAGACTTTCTACTTAATGCCCTAGCAATCTTTTTTAGGGTGAGGCTCCTCTTGCTGAAGAATTTGTTCTGCATCTGGTAAATAGAAAAAAATAAACCAATATACTTCCTCTGTGCTTTAATTCTTGCCACATTCTGTTTTTGCACTATTCACATATCTTACTTTGACCACGATTCTCTACTAATATACATAATCAAATTATTACGTATAAAATGTTATTGAATTTCTATCAATGTGAATTTTCAAAATATCAACTTTTTATAATGTTTATTAATACATAATTAAATATAATTACAGTCAAAGTTGTGCATTGGCAAACGTGAAAGTCAATATGTTGCAAGAATTAAAGAACAGATGATAGTATAAGATAATGTATTTCTATTATTAGGTTCACCTTTAAGGATGAAACTTGAAATCTAAAAACTACCTGCATCCTAATGTTATTTGCAAAAGTTGACTTGTCACAAGAATTAAGGAAGTTAACAAAAAAGTTTAGCTTTACTATTTTGCCATATCTCCCATAAAGTAGAGGCACTTAAATATATAGAAAAGGAGTAAAACTATAAAAGTAAAGGTAAATTTGTCACTTTATTCATCTTTCCATACCTAAAGTAGAGAGTTGAAAATCTTTTTGGTACAACCAAAATAGGAAATTTTGCAAATCAAATTGGGATAGAGAGAGTATGTTATTAGAGCCAATCTGACTTGTAGCAATAATGTGGCACTTCTATGAAAAACTAATGGTCCATAAGAGATGTCACGCTAAAAATAGAACTACAAACCAACATATAAGATATTGAGACACTCCAATTTAGTTCACTTTTTTGGATGAATTTTCAAGTCTTTATACATGCATTATTCATTTTTATATGGTGTGGGGCTTCTTGGATTATTTAAAACTGGTATGGTGAAAATTCATTAACTGATACTAGTTAAAACAGGTAACAGTGGGGCGTAAGCAAGTCACTGGGCTTAGACTGAACCTAAAAGGGTGCAAGCAGAACCGCCTTGCCATCCACTTACAACACCTCGTTTCTCTTCCTAAGATTCTTCATCCACACTGGGACTCACACATGGCTATTGGTGCACCTAAGTGGCACAGTCCCGAGGAGCAGGACAGCCGATGGTTCGAACCGATAAAGTGGAAGAACTTCTTCGACATAAGCACCGCACCCATAGAGCACACTGAAACGTCAATCGGAGACCTCGATGGCGTCCATAGTGTGACGGGCCCAGCTGGGCGTTTGGAATTCCGGTGCTAAGAATGTCTTACACCTGAAAATTCTCTTTTCCAAGGTGCCCGGGTGTACAATAAAGAGATATGTGTGGGACCACAATCCCTCCACCCCAAGGTTTGATGGTTCTTCATTCTCCATATCTAGCCAAATAGGAAAACTTGGGAGAATGGTTGATATGACGGAAATGTGCAAGGGGCCACAGGATACACCTGGTCATTGGCTAGTAACCGGGGCTAAGCTTGGGGTTGATAAGGGTAAAGTCATGCTACCCTTGAAGATACTCCCTATTGAACCATTGAGATTGGTCTTTGCCCAGCCTTCACGGAATAGACATTAATGGTGGATTCATTACATATAAACTTTCTTTTGGATATAAGCATCTCATGTAAATTCAGTTAGTTGTAGAGTATTCATCGAAAGGAGTTTAAACTCCACCCACCTGCTTCCCGAATTCCCTGCCCTCTATAGCGCTACCCCAACAATCCCTTGTAAAAAGTAATGAAGACTTGGAGTTCTGAGTTTAGTTCGTATTCATCCTAGCTGGCTAATCTGAAGTTGGAAGTCTTTTATTAGTTAGAGAATGTATACATATAGCTTGGTGTATGTAATGTTTGTTATAGCTATATAAATACTTTAGCTAAACTGATTTACTAATCGAGTTGAATGAAATGTTCATTTCTTTTTCTATTGTGTTCCAATTCTGAAATGGTATCAGAGCGAGCTTCATTCTTCTTCTTCTAGTTTTCTTCTCGTTTCTTTCAGCTTTCCGCCATGGCCATAGGAACTGACAACTCCTCACATGATGAAACAAATTCGTTGTATCTTCATCATGCTGAAACACCTGGTCAAACACTGATTTCTTTGAAGTTGGATGCCAAGAACTATCACAAGTGGAGTCGACTGATGCATATGGCTCTTTCGGAGAAGAACAAATTAGGTTTTGTAGATGGAACTATCTCGAAACCTGCAATCAATCATGCGACTTATTTTCATTGGATGTGTGCCAATCATATGGTAATATCTTGGATTGCTAACTGTTTCTCACCTGATTTAGGAGATTTCGCTTTGTATTCTGATTCCGCTGCACAGGTCTGGGAAGAATAGAAAGAAAGATTCTCTAGTTCTAGCAATAACCACATCTATATGCTTGAACAAAATTTGTTAGAAACTAAACAGGAAAATCTTGCTGTTAGTATCTACTTCTCCAAGATCAAGTCCATTTGGGATGAAATAAGTCAATTTGAAGAAACTATTGTTTGTTTAAATGATGAATGCTTAGTTCTAAAGGAAATGAGTAAGAGACATGAACGAAAATGTATCATGCAATTCCTTATGGGATTGAGAGAATCTTTCACTCAAGTTAGAAACCAGATACTTCTGAAAGATCCCTTGCCTTCTCTAGATGCTGTTTTTAAACTGATTTTACAGGAAGACACAAATCAAGAACTCAGTTCATCCATATTCATACAAATTGATTCAGTGGCTATGACAACCCAAAATTTTCATAAGAACAATACTGGAAAAAAAATATATATATAAGAGATTTGGAAATGGACAAGGTCATACACTACTAGAAAAGCCCTTTTTAACAATGAAAAATTTTCTTGTTATAGGCTCTAAAATTTGTCGTTAAAACCTTTAACGATGACTTTTTTTTTGTCGTCAAGTTGTTGTAATAGCCTCCCTCGTTATTGGTTTTAACGACCAAGTTCATCGTTAATAATAACGACGAAATAACAAGTCATCGTTACATATTAGCGACAATATACTTGTTTGTCGTTACATAATTACGAGAAAATAGTTTTTCGTCGTCTCATTATAACAATGGCATATGTAATTGTCGTTATTTATTTATGTTGCAACCTCAACTCTTACCATTAATACATATACCCAATAACAACAACGTTACATTATTGTTTGCCATAACAAGCCCAACATGCAATCAATTTAACACCTATTAAAATTTTAAAGTTTTTAAAATAATAATTATATGTGCTATATAGTAATTGGTAGAAGTTTTCATTGTTTACAAAGTATTTTGTAATAAAACAACCTGCAGAATTGAACAAGTTGAAAAAACAATCAAGTATAGTACCTAAGTAGAAATATCATTTCAGAAACAATATGAATCGTCTGTAGAAACTCTGTAGAAACAAAACAAAATCTCCAAGTCTAGTTCTAAAATGTATGGCTACAAAAACTGAAAGGTTCAGTACTAGCTAGCTAATCCATCTAATAACTTGTCAAGCTCTGAGGACTTCTATGATCACTTGGTAATTTCTCATCTTCAAATACCTGTCAAATAAAAGAATGATATTTTAATATAGGATGATTAATACTTTAATATCATAGGAGAAATACAATGTTTATTCAACTACAAAAATGAATCTCAAAATGATATTTCACATTCAGTTTCTTTAATTACTATTGCATTTAAAACATACCTTGCAATATATTCTATGAGGGAATAGAAACGTTGAGTTGCTTGACTAACATATCTTGAAACATTTCCATTCGAGACTCCATAAAACCAACACGACCCTTAAGTTCACTGTTTTCTTCTTGAATTGTACCAACACGGCCCTTAAGTTCATTGTTTTCCTCTTGAATTGTTTCCATGCGATTTGCCATAAGCTGATTTTGTTGTTTAGCAGAATTCAGTTCACCTTGAAGTTCTTCTCTACTGGGTTGTGACCTTGTTACATCTTTGAGCTTTACTCCTCCTCCATAACCGACAACCCGATCTCGAGACTTGGATTTAAAAACCATTTGTGCTACCTATGGATATGCAGGATATTAGACCACTAAGCCACCCATATAACTCAACATTTCAGGAAAAAAAATGTGAATCATAATCATTGATTAAATATACTTGCACTTCAAATCACTCAAAAAACAGTAATTGCAGCCTTGTGAAAGCATTAGTATGCAAAACAAAATGCGAGAACAGTAACCTCAACATTGGAAAGTGATGGATATTTGTCTGTTATTTCTTGAATTTCCTCCTACAATGTAGAACCATAACATTACAATTAACAACCTATAAATGTAGGCTCACAAAACATAACCATTGAAACAATAAATTGAACTAAAACCACAAAAAATCATCTTAAGATCTCATTTTGGGCCTTATATACACCAACACCAATCAGATAATAAAATATGGAGTGATTTAAAAAATAGGCATAACACATCCGATAGAGCGGACATACATGTTTTTGTATTGTCTCCACATTTGGAAGCTTATCTCCTTTCTTGCGAGTCGTATAGAAGACATCAACTAAACGTGGATCATTCCCTTCATTCGCACCCTTCCATAACAGACCAAGTGTGAACAGTCATATAAGATATTCAAAAATAAATTTCGTAATGCAAAAAAATTTCAGGAAATTAAACTTTCTTACCAAGTCATCCCAAATAACTTGCCTAAAAGGTTTGCTCCCTGTCCGGTGCATTAACTCATTAGCATAGCACCCTCTATTAGCCGAGTTTCTGGCACTTCTTTTCTGAAATGTAGAAGTTTAGTTACTGCATATATATAAACACAGTAAAATATATTTTTCAATCTTTTTAGGAGAGCTAACCTGAAACTCAGGATTGGAATATATCTCCCTTATAAGCCATCTCCACTCATGCTTCTCAAGTCCAGTAGGCGGACTACGCATGTATGCAGTTTTTAAGGTTATTCCAATATTGGTCACATTATACCGCAACAAATCTGACCTCCAATTTCCCCACAACTCTTTCATATGTAAAAGAGTATGCTGTTTGTAAACTTCAATGTTTGCATTACTAAAGACATCCTAAAGTAAGAAAAAGAATTCAGAAAAAAATATCATCATAGAATAAGTAAATCAGTAGGTTGATACACACTCTTGTCATTAATAAGACTATTAAAGCTCTTGGAAATTGTATTACCGTGACAGCACTCCACATGTGATCTTTTTCTTTTTCTCCAATATCTTTCCATTTGTGAACTCTCACGGGACACATATTTGTATCTCGCACTATAATTCCCAAATGTCTTGCCCACACTTCATGATTCTTACCGACAGCTCGATTGTTATAAAAAGCGACTTCAAGTTTCTCACCAGGTTTAAGCCTTGCTATTTCCTTGCATTTGTTTCTTCCCCTCTTTTTTTGAATTAAACTTTTCTCCTTATTGGTAAAAGAGCTACCACCTTTAGCTATAAAAAATATGATCAACTCAAATTGTTAAATGGTAAAATGTAAAAAATAAAATGTACCAAAAATAGTTAAAAGTTAATATTTTACCTTTTGTATCTTCTACGGCTTCAGGATATACCTCAATTTCAGTTTCACTAACATCAAGAAGAATGTTTGTTCCTCTGTTTTTTTCGTTCACATTTTTCCTCTGAGATTTATACGTGTCACTCCCTTCAACAAAAATAAGAAACAATTGTAGCAGCCTTCAAAATCAAATATATGTTTCTTTCTGTTGGAACTCAAAAGAAGAAAACAAACCCTATACCACAAGAGGTTTTTCAAATTGATTGCCACTCGCAAAACCTTGTATTCATCACTAAATTAATTTCCTTCAAATAAGACTCACAAGTTATAAGTACATTTACGCTCTGTCTCCCCAGCATGGTAAAAAAAAATACATGATACCGTCACATCGAAATCCCTAATGATACATATACTGCATGCACATAATTATAACACATCACGTAAACATAAGCAACATGACAATATTTTCACAACTAAAAACGTAAAACTAACATAATTCAAAAAATATAACGCTATTATCGAATGCTAAACTTTTACCATTGGGTTCTGGTGAAAATTGATTGGTCTCCATTTCAGTTTCACTAACATCTTCAAGAATGTTTTCCGCCACAGCTTTCATTTTAGTGATACAAGATGCACCACCTTCAATCAACATGAATTATAATAAAAAACTAAACGAAAACAATAAACGTAAAACAATCATTAGAAGATTGAACCTTTATCATTTGCATCTTGTAAAAATCCCTGATCTATCTCCATTTCAGAGTCGCTAGCATCATCAAAAATGGTTCTTCTTCTCCTTTTCTCACCTTCAGTGTTCTTCTTAAAAGTAAATGAGCCACATCCTTCAACCATAACAAATAAAATTTGATTTTAAGTGTTAAATGGTTAAATGCAAGAAATATTAAATGATTAAAGTATTGAATGATTAAGCAATACATAAAAAATTCTTTCATTTGAGGACAAACCTTGACCATTTGGATCTCCAAAAAATCTTGGATGTAACCCCATTTCACTGTCACTATCATCATCAAGATCACTTCTTCCTCTCTCTTTTTCAACCATGTTGTTCTTCTTAAGACTAAACGACTCACACCCTTCAACAGTGATAGGTAAAAACTGATATTGAAATACTAATTGATAAAAATACTAGAAATAAAAAAACAATTACTCAATGACAAACCTTGACCATTTGAATCTCCAGGAATCATAACATCATCAAGAATACTTCTTCCTCTCTTATTTTCAACCCTTGTATTCTTTTTAGAAGTAAACGAACCACGTCTTCCAACTAAGATAAAATGTGGTTGAGAGTATTAGATGAACACAGAAAAATAATGCAAAACATTAGAACAGTCAGTAAAGGCCAAACCTTTTCCATCTACATCTCCTAGTACTTCTGGGCACACATTATGTTCATAATCATTAACATCATCAAGAACATTTCTTCCTCTCTTTTTTTCAACCCCGTTGTTCTTCATCACATTAAACGAGCCACATCCTTCAACTATAATAAATAAAAATTGATTTTGAAATATTAATTGATAAAAACTATAAATTAAAAAAAACAGCTACTTAATGACAAACCGTGACCATTTGAATCTCTAGGAATCATAACATCATCAAGAATACTTCTTCCTCTCTTATTTTCAACCCCTGTATTCTTTTTAGAAGCAAACGAGCCACATCTTCCAACTAAGAGACAATATAGTAGAAAGTATTAGATGCGAAAAGAAAAATATATAATGCAAAACATTAGAATATTTAATAAATGCCAAACCTTTTTCATTTGGGTCTCCTGGTACTTCTGAGTAACCATTCAGTTCATAATCATTAACATCATCAAAAATGTTATCTCCTTCAGGAGGTAAAGATTTCATGTTTTTGCCACTTGAGTGAGGAAGAATCAGTAATGGATCAAAAACAACACCACCAGAACGATCCCTTGTGGATACATCTTTGGAATGACCACTAGTCCCAGTAAATGAGTTTGCTCCAATATGACCTTTAGAAGTAGAAAACAGGCCGCTTATCTTTTTCCCACATCCCTTAGCTAACATTTGAGGTGGTACATAAGACCTTTTAGATCTTGGCATAGAAGGTTTATGCGTAATATCACTAGCACGGAACATTTTCCTGTATGTTAGTAAAAGCATTATCTCAATTAAGAAGTTCATTGTAACTTCATTCCCTGCAGTGTTTCAATTTCTTGTTTTCACATGACACAAAACAACATATATGAATCATGTACAAGAAGGCAGAGGGCTCTTGATAAACTTACTAGACTGTAGTGATATGAGTCATAGATAAAAAAGAAAATTTAACCAATCTTAAGCATGTAATTACTGGAAACAATATATAAAAACAGTAGAAAACAAGAAAGCAAGAGTATCTAGAACTAGGAGTAACAAATGGACTATTCTTCTCTTCTCCTCTTTTGAGCTCTTTGTTCATCTCTTCTCTTTGGGATATCCTCCACAATAATTGGATCCATACCATCTCTACTTTTGCAAATTTCAGCACTTGCAGTTGTTGAGGATGATGCAACATACATAGGTTGGAACAATTCTGTAAGTTCATATACATCACTTTTATTGTTTCCAACATCGTGATCATCATCTGAAATGTCACAAAGTATGCGAGGTTGATTCTTGACCCCAAGTATCCAACCTTTACTAACATTATCAGTAACATAAAAAGCTTGTCTCGCTTGACTAGCCAAGATAAATGGCTCATTCGTCTTTAATTGCTTACTGGAATTCAAACTTATAAATCCATACTGGTCTGTTTTAATTCCTCTAACCCTATCATGTACATCCCACCATTTGCATCGAAACAGCACGATTCGGTTCCCTCCAAGATATTGCAGCTCAATAATTTCGGTTACCACTCCATAATAATCAATATCTTCATCTCCATTTCCTGTGTTTCCTGTCACAACTACCCCACTATTTTGTGTCCTCAAAGTCTTCTCACGACTTTCAGTATGAAACCTATAGCCATTAACTATATAACCACTAAAAGATGTCATGTATTGTTTTGGCCCACGTGACAGTGCAAGCAAGTTGATCATTTCATTGCCATTAGCATTCTCACACAGATTTGTAACCTACCAAAGAGAGTTAGTAATAATAAGAATTTTACATTTTCATACTATAATCCTTATTACAATTTAAATTACAATTTAATAGACTTTTTCTTACTTCATTCTTGAACCATTCTGTTTGTTTCTTCCACCAATCCTCTTCCGAGTTTCCAGGTTCATTTAGAGCATGACATTCTGCGTATTCTCTATAAAATAATAGACAATAAAATACTGGAATAATATTTAATCTGTAGAAATAAAGTGAACATATTGACTCTCAATTACTCACTTGAGAAAAGGTTGAACCTCATCACAGTTCTTCAATATATAAACATGAGCTTGATCCAACTCACGCTTTCCAAGAGATGTAATAGCAGGACATCCTAAACCACGACCAGGATGATTAAAAATGGATAGGTCTTCATCACAACCATTTTCACTTTCATAATTTCGGTCAAGACAATTAAATCTTGTCTGTATTGTATGCATATACCTTGAACACATAGTCATACACTCATCTACTAAATAGCCCTCTGCTATTGAAGCCTCTGGACGAGCCCTATTTCGAGCATAAGATTTGAGCTTATACATATATTGTTCAAAAGAGTACATCCACCTGAATGGAACTGGCCCTCCAATTCTAGCCTCCCTGGCTAAATGAATAGGTAAGTGAATCATGACATCAAAGAATGATGGAGGAAATATTTTCTCTAATTTGCATAGAGTGACAGGAATTTGTAACTCCAGTTGCTCCAGATCACTGACATTAATGACTTTAGCACATAATGTACTAAAGAACATCGATAGTTCAATTAAAGCTTCACGTACAAGAGGAGTGAGAAGGCCACGTATTGCAAAAGGAAGAAGATGCTCGAGTATGACATGGCAATCATGGCTCTTCAGACCCGAAATTTTAGCATCCTTGGTGTTGACACAATAAGAGATATTTGATGAAAAACCATCAGGAACTTTAAGGACTTTCAAAAACTCACAGAAAGTTCGCTTTTCAGAAGGGGATAAAGTATATGGAGCAGGAGGCATCTTCACCTTTTCTCCTTCTTTGATGAGGTGAAGTGTAGACCTCAACCCCATAGCTTCAAGATCAAGGCGTGATTTTATAGTGTCTTTGGTCTTTCCTTGTATGTTCATAATTGTCCCAAGAACACTATCACATATGTTCTTCTCAATGTGCATCACATCTAAATTGTGACGTAACAAATGTGTCTTCCAATATGGAAGCTAAAAAAAAATACTTTTTTTATTCCAATTGTCCCCTCTAAGCTCATGAGATATTTTTGTCTTCACGCTTGAATCTTTAGACAGTATGATACTCTCAAGATCTTTCAACTTGTGAAGAATATCATCAATTGCAGAAGGTTGTGCAGGTACACCTCGCTCAACTTCTCCATCAAATGATTCCTTATCCCTTCTCCATCTGTGATTCTTAGGCAAGTAGCGTCGATGACCCATGAAGCATTCCTTTCCGCCATTACATAACCTCTTTGAACGTGTATCTGTTAGACAACACGGGCATGCTAACTTACCCTTTGTGCTCCATCCGGATAACATTCCATAAGCTGGAAAGTCATTAATAGTCCACATCAAAACTGCGCGCATCTGAAAATGATGTCGGGATGCTGCGTCAAAGGTCTCAACACCAGTTTCCCACAAATCCTTTAATTCATCAATTAAAGGTTGCAAGTATAAGTCAATGGAATCACCGGGACCTCTTGGGCCAGGAATAAGCATTGATAGAATCAAATTTGATTGCTTCATACAGAGATGGGGGGGTAAATTATATGGAACCAATATCACTGGCCAAATACTATGTGATGTTTTCGAATTTGCAAAAGGTTGAAAACCATCACTTGAAAGCCCAAGCCTCACATTTCGAGGATCTGATGCAAAGTCAGGGTGGTGTTTGTCAAATGATTGCCAACCAGATCCGTCAACAGGATGTCTCATCGTACCATCTCTCCTCATTTTCTTATGATGCCACCTCATCAAAGGAGCAGTCTTCGAGCACATAAATAGCCTTTGCAGCCTTGGTTTTAATGGAAAGTATCGTAGTGTCTTCAATGGTATTTTTTTACCATTTCTTTTGAACTTCTCTTCCCCATTGTGTTTATTAGATTTCCATCTTGATACTCCACAAATATTGCAACTATCCAACTCTTCATTTTCCTTCCAATATAACATGCAATCATTAATGCACGCATCAATTTTCAGATACGATAACCCAAGGTCTTTCATGATCTTCTTTGACTCGTAGTAAGAATCAGGCAAGTTAGAGCCATCAGGAAGGAGGTCTTTCTTCAAGAATTCTAGGAGCATGGTAAACGACTCATTGCTCCAACGACCAAGCGTCTTAATATGAAGAAGTTTTAAAAGTGCAGACATTCTTGAGCTCTTACAACCTTCATACACAGGATCTTGCGAATCCTTCAAGAGATTATAAAATTTCTGCACATCTGCATTGGGTTCTTCATCATGTTTTTCATCGAATTGCGAACCAGAATCATAGTACTCTGGAAAAAAATCCCTTAAAATATCAGGAACTTCGTCTTCACTTTCTTTACTTTCCCTATCATCGTCACTTTCCGATATAGATTGTGGTTCATCTGATCTTTCCCCGTGATGATACCAAAAGGTATACCGTTTGACTATTCCAAAAACTAATAGATGTTCCCTGACTTTTTCACGATCACCAAACTCTACATTCACACATTTGCAACAAGGGCAACGTACTACCCTTGTTCCCAAATTTTGAAAAGCATAGTCTAAAAAGCTATTAACTCCTACTTCATATGATTTGTCATTAATGTAATCTTCAATGGCCATCCAATCCTTGTTAGGAGTCATTCTATCCCACATAGAAGTAATATATGATGAATTAATAAATTTCTTTAGATACTATAAATGAAAAAAATTGTGTGCAAATTTAGATAATAAAGGAGTAGCTAAAAATTGATAAATCTTATGTGCTTGGTTAATAATAAAGAAATTAACAAAAGCATATGAGGCAGATCATTCTAAAATATTTTAAAATATGTCTCAATTTATTTATTTCAATTGAAATAAATTAACTCATCAAATAAAAAAAATTGTTCAATATATTATTCATCATTAGTTGATCTAATCATTGACAATAGACCCACTCAACAAATAGCTCGTACTAACTTTAAAAGCACTTGTAATGGTAAGCACGCCTTTCATTTTGATACAATAATTTGCCAAAAAAATGATGCAATAATCATTATAATTGCAGCAAGTAGCTCATATGAATTTGATGACTGTTGGTAAGTTTTTTTTTGCAAACGACTGTTGGTAAATGTTAAATATATATTTCTCCACATAGCTTTGAACTTAATACACACACATAAATATTTATATACTATTTTCAATATTATGGAGACTTACAATTGAAAGAATGATTAATAGAAAATAAAAGTAGTGGTAGACATTTAGGATGTTTTTACTTGGACTGTAATTTGCTCCAGACCAGACAAGTTCAGACCAGACCAGACCAGTTCAGACCAGACCAGACCAGACCAGACCAGACTTGGATAGTTATAAAAATACAAAGAAACCAGACCTTACCAGACCAGACCAGACCAGTTCAGACCAGACCAGATCAGACCAGACCAGACCAGACCAGCAAATTACAGTCCAAGTAAAAACATCCTTAGTAGAATAAATTACTTGTGGAAGAAAACCATTCCAAGTATTTGATTTCAAATTTATTTGAAGGAAAAAAATATGCCATCTCTGAAAAATTATTCCAAATAAAATCTAGATCAAATGAATTCAGAAAAATCTGATTTTATACTATTCAGTATTCATTATTATTCATACTGACCCAAAATTCATAAAATTTTAAGGCTAAAAGAGTTATCCTTATAAGTGTTTTAAGTATTACAATGATACTCTATTTTGTTGGTTTGGTTCGAATTACATTAGTCAAACATAAAGCTCGATAAACAGACCTCAAAACCTAAAACAAAAAATTACTCAAGTTTTTTGAATTGAGTTTATGCAGCGATTTTAAAGGTTAACAACAGAGCTCACAAACGATTGCCGAAAAACATAAAAGTAATTTAGAAGATACAAGTAAAATTCAAAACTACCTAGAACAAAAAATCTATGAACCCAGTGAGAACATTAGATTAATTTACAGAACGAGATAATCTCAACGAACAACAAATTAATCCGGCAACATAAAACAGAGACTAAAAGAGGAAGATTGATGTCATAGTTTTTAAGAAAATATGTAAATTGATAATATTAGAGATTAAATTTACCTGGACAAGTGCGATTGAGAAAAAGAACAAGAGCTGCGGCCAATTTAAGATTAAATTTTGCGATTGAGCAGCGATAAACGAAGAGCAGCTACTGATGAATGATGAGCGGCGGCAGAGCGAGGAACGATGAGCGGCGGCAGAGCGAGGAACGGTGAGCGGCGGCGGAGTGAGGAACGGTGAGCGGTGGCAGAGCGAGGAACGGTGAGCGGTGGCAGAGCGAGGAACGGTGAGCGGCGGAAGCGCGCTGAACGATGAGCGGCGTACAAGAAATCTGGCCGGCGGCGTTTTGGGTTGGTTCAATCCTCCGCACAATTTCTTTGAGAGGCAAAGAGAGAACTTTCTAACTCAGCCAATTAATTAGGGCATATACAGAGGGAGCATATGTTTAACTTTCATAATTAATTAGAGTATTATCTAATTTTGAGCACCAATAAATCCGTCAAATGTTAAAGCGCGAGCCAAAAATTTTGACTAGGGAAAATTCGGCGCACTTTTTTTTTTTGGGAAAAAAGTTGGCGCACTTATAATTCTAATTCTAAAAATTGATGATCTTAAATTTTATAACGTGATCTTATCTTATTTTCCGTTCTAGTTTAATTTACAAAATCATATCTAAATCTAAAAACTTAATAATAACGATGACTACGTACTCAGTAACCACGACAAAATTTTATAGGGTCGTTAATAATAAATTTAGTAACGATGAATATAGTAGTTGATGTTAAAAATATACTTCTAACGACGACTTATGAGGATTGTCGTTATATATTGGTCGTTAAAAACCCTTTTTCTAGTAGTGATAACAACACAAATGGGAATAAGATGATGATCTGCTCTCATTGCAAGAAGATAAATCACACAGTGGATAATTGCTATGAACTGATTGGTTATCCAGCTGGACACAAACTGGCCAAGTTCAAACCACAAGGGAATCAAAATCAAGGATATTGGCAGAACAGGAATAAAACTGTGGTTAATGCTGCAATACAAGAGGAAAAGGAGACTGATTCCTGTAAAGACCAAGTTGGTTTAACTCAAGAGCAGTACCAGCACTTATGTTCTCTTCTCATGGAGAAATCAATTATTGCTTCTTCAAACAGTTTCCAGCCCCTTGTCAATCAACCATCTTCCAGTCAAGGTAACTATGTATCTTATAACAACCACACGTGTGTCAGTTTCTTCAGCCATTCATTTGAATTCACATATATGGATCATAGATTCAGGAGCCAATAGAACACTAACAGCTAATCTCAACAACCATTCACCCTTTGATCTTTTATTCTCCAAAATTCCCTTATATAACCACCTCAAAACTTTTGGATGTCTGTGTTATTCCTCTACTCTATCCCACTCAAGATCAAAATTTGATCAAAGAGCTAATCAATGCATTTTCCTAGGATATCCAGCCAACATAAAAGGTTACATTGTCTATGATCTTGATAAAAGGGTCAAGCATATTTCAAGAGATGTAATATTTTATGAGGATTCCTTTCCTTTTTCATCCATACCTACTGAAACTATCACCAAACCCAACGAACAATCACCTGTCATATTACCTCCAAACACTTCCTGATATGCACTAATTAGTAGTGCATAAGTGTATGTTTTTATGTTTGATTTGTGTGGTTTGTTTACCGTTTTATTTACTTTGTAAACATTTGTGTGATTTTAGTTGTAATTGTATTTTAATCTTCATTTGTAAGTTGTAAAGTAGAGTTAGGAATTAGGGTGTTGAAAAGGAGGACTTTGAAGTGAAGAAAAATAAGATTTGGCTGCCCAGAAGCAAAAACCCGACCGGGTATAATACTTCACCCGGTCGGGCATGACAAAGAATCAGAAACTGTTGAGAAAGTCACTAGACCCGGTCGGGTCAGACTTGACCCGGGACACCAGAACATGCCGAAGATCGCCAGAATTTGGAAAATATCTGATTTTGACCAAACCCGGTCGGGTCCCTTACTTGACCCGGTCGGGTCTGACTTGACCCGGACAATTTAACGTGCTGAAAACACAAAAACGTGGGAGATAATCTGATTTTGACCGGTACCCGGTCGGGTATGTACCTATACCCGGTCGGGTACCCGGCCAAAGGTGTTGAAAAACACCTATAAATAGCACACTTTTTCTTCACAAAAAATCACTCCTTCTTCCATACTCTTAAGCTCAGTTTAGAATAGTATTTCTTTTATATTTTTATAGCATGTTTAGTCTCCAAATGAGGAGCTAAACTTCCATTTCTTGGTGTTGCTCTTGAAGCTTGTTGATTATTAAAGTTGTGAGTTATTTTCTTAACTTCTTTCCTTGAATATTAATGCTTCTTTTAAATACTATTTCTATATCAATGTTGGGGAGTGTTGCTAAGATGACAATTAGTTAACATCTTGACATTGGTCTTAGTAATAGCTATTCCTTCCTCTATGTTAATATTGGGGAGTGTTACTAAGATGACAATTAGTTAACATCTTGATATTAATTATAGTAGGATTCATTTTCCTTAATATTCTTCCTTGAGTATTAATTAATTCCTATTCATATTTCATATTAATATTTTTGAACATTACTTAAAGGATCAACTAGTTTTGTTTCAAATATTAATTATTACTAGAAACGATCAACGAACCGATGGTTAATCGTTGATGGTTTCACAAGTAAGTAACTTCGGTTTATTAATGCACGGTCGTGGTTAGTAAACTTAAGAGGGATTAATTTTGTTGGTTAAACCGAAACCGTTGTGTTGAGGTTATCAATCTCAATTGATTTCATCAAGGAGTTAAGAGATTAATGAACGGTCGTTGTTAATAACTTTCCTCGATGAATTGGATATACTCCTCGATTGAGTATTCGAGAGGAGATAAGTTATAGATATAACAATGATCGACTGAAATATATCAACAAGTGGAAAGTAGCAATGCCAAGTCCTTTTTATCTTTGAATTAAATCACATATAACTCGTTCATCTTCGTGTTTAATTTAATTAAATCATTCAACCCAAAAACCCCCTTTATTTACTCCTTTCGTTAAAAAGATAAATTATTCCTTTCCCTGTGGATACGAACTCTACTTCACCTATACTACGTATAAGTGTTAGTATTGAATTTATTTTGAGTGCACTCACGACAAAGTGCACGTCAAATTTGGCGCCGTTGCCGGGGAGAGGCAATTAATTTTTCTTTTTCTTTTATTTCAAAAAAAAAAATATTATTTACATATAAAAGAAATACTATTCTAAAATTTTATTTACATATAAAGATTTCTATTTCTTCTGAGCTTTATAGTGTATGGTTAAATATCGTTCTCTAAACGAGATCACCTACCAATCAAACCCAGAAATAGAGCAAACTCTCGAGCGATTGAAAAATAAGTTCTCAAGTACCGACTCGGGAGAATCATCAAGTGCTAGTTCTCATTCTAGCGAGCCCGAAGAGCCAACAACTATGGCTCTTGAAACAAGAACATTGAGGGAGCTCACGGCTCCTAACTTAAATCAACAACCTCTATGTATCACCTTCCCCACTCTTGATGAAGGTGCTACATTTGAGCTCAAATCGGGCCTTATTCATCTACTCCCTTCATTTCATGGCCTAAGGGGCGAGGATGCAAACAAACATCTTGCGGAGTTTCATATAGTTTGCACTAGTATGAAACCAAATAATGTTACGGAAGAACAAATCAAGCTGAGGGCCTTTCCATTCTCACTGAAGGACACAGCTAAGGATTGGCTATTCTATCTTCCCTCGGGAAGCATAGATACATGGGCGGCAATGAAGAAATGCTTCCTAGAAAGGTACTACCCCGCCTCCATCTCATCATCTTTGAAAAAACAAATAAGCAACATTGATCAAAAAGATGATGAGACCTTATATGAATATTGGGAACGGTTCAAAAAGTTATGTGCTAGCTGCCCTTATCATGGCTACACCGAGCAAGACCTCATACTCTACTTTTATGATGGTCTTGTTGATGATGATAGAAGAATGGTGAATGCCGCTTGTGGGGGCGGCATTGTCAACAAAACTCCCTCACAAGCAACAAGCTTGATCTCAGAGTTGGCCGAGAACTCTAGGCATTACAACGGGCGGTCCTCAACCCGTAAAGTTGCCGCGGCGGAATCATCTTCATATTTAGAAAGTCAAATGGCCGGCTTGACTTCTTTGGTTAAGGATTTCCTTTTAAATCCTAGAAACCAAGAGGTCAAGGTCTGCGGCATATGCACACAGCAAGGGCATCCAACTGATTCTTGCCCAACTCTCCAAGAAGAGCAAGTCAACGCCTTGGGTTTCCAAACCCAACAACAAAAGAGGTACGATCCCCACTCTAATACTTACAACCCCGGGTGGAGAGATCACCCTAATTTAAGATATGGGAACCCTCAACCACAACAAAATCAGTCCTTTCAACAATCCTTCCCAAATCATCAAGGTCAAAACTCCAACTCTAACATGTCCACGGAGGACATGATTCGAGCTCTTGCTACGAACATGGGCACTTTGCAACAAAATGTTTTGCAATTTCAACAAGAAACAAAGTCAAGCATTCAAAATTTGGAAACTCAAGTTAGCCAAATTTCGATTGCTGTGAGTAGGCTAGAGGCCAAAGAATCGAGAAAACTCCCTTCTCAAACGGAGCAAAACCCGAGACAACATGTCAATGCGATCATGACGAGGAGCGGTAAGGAGTTGCAAACAAAGGAGTCTGAAGAAAAAGTTAACAATGACGAGTTTGACCACAACGAGGGGGAACCAACGAAGACAAAATTTCCTCCACTTTCATCATATGAGCCACTCCCTCCATTCCCTGAGGCGCTGAAGGACACAAGGAAGTTGGAGAATGATCGGGACATCTACGAGACCTTCGCCAATTGTGAGGTAAATATCCCACTCTTTAAACTAATCAAAAGTGTTCCCCGTTATGCAAAGTTTTTAAAAGAACTATGCACGATAAAAAGAAAGAATAAATTGAAAGGGAAACAAGAGGTCAAGGTTAGTGAACTGTCTCAGCAATTTTCCAGAGGAAACTCCCGGAAAAATGCAACGATCCAGGCATGTTCACTATCCCATGCAAAATAGGGGAAACTTTATTTCCTAGGGCCTTGTTAGATTTAGGGGCTTCAATCAATGTTATTCCATATTCATTATACAAGTCCCTAAAACTTGGCCCTATGCATGAAACCGGGGTGATAATCCAATTGGCGGATAGGTCTAGCATATACCCAAAGGGCGTCGTAGAGGACGTGCTAATAAAAGTTGAAAATTTGGTCTTCCCTGTCGACTTCTATATTCTTGAAATGGAAGCCGATAACCAAGCTGCACCCATCCTTTTGGGAAGACCTTTCTTAAAAACGGCCCAAACAAAAATAGATGTGTCTAATGGTTCATTAACTTTAGAG